TTAGCTTTAATCAATTCAATGAATTTATACTATCCATGGTGATATAATTTGGTTGGCTTTATTTCATTAACTTGAAATAGTTTCCAATAACGAAAACAAATTACCATATTTTTTTTATGAATTTTAAGATGATAATAAAAATGATATGATTCATCAAATTTGTCTTCACCATCTCCTGCAAATAAGCAGAAACTATAGTATATGCTATTTTCATTTCATAATAAATATTAGAGAGTATTTTTAACTTGTAATTCTCACTGCACTGGAGACTCTTCTATTCTCATTATTGATAATTTGTCATAGATTTTTTCATTAGCAAGAAATTTTTTGAAATCCATGCTACTATAGTAATTTTCAAAATATGTTCTATAATATTTCATATCATATTCAGAATGGTTACTGATAGGCTTAAGAAACCTTCATTCTTTTTTATCAATAATCATATTAATGTTAGTAGCACTTGCCAAGCTAAAAACTGTCATATTTAGCAAAATATACTGATTTTATTGTTTTATAGTATTTTAGCAAATTCTATCTATTCTTGAGTAACATATACTATAGAATATCATCATTCAAATTTATATGGATTTTATAATTGATTTTTTTGATTCAGTTAAATTAGATCTAAGACAATATACACAATATGATCATCATTGTATTACAATATACCTGACTCCTTTCCAGCACCTTGTCAATTCTCGTACTCTTCTGTCACTTTCAGTTTGTAAATCTTTTGTGATTAACAGGGATTAGCTAGAGGCGTTGCAATATAACATAAAAATTTGTATCACCCTAACTCCTAGTCATTTCTCAGCACTTCCTTACAACCTTCCTGCAACTCAAATCACAGATGGAGTATTTGATAAGCAATTACACAGTATTTATAAGGATACACAGTTTAAAAAAAGGAAAAGTCAAAATGTTATGTTTGAAATATTTTTCTAGATACATGTCAGTATTATGATCTATTGAGACTCAGTTACAAAGTAGCATATATTTAGCAGTAATTGTTAAAGTATGTAAAGTAAATAATACATTGGTTAAAAATCACTAGCCTAATATAGGCAAAACTTTATAAAATACTTTATTCATCATGCTTGCCATTTTCATATTTTTCACAATAATTAGAGCATTCTCATTTTTTTACATTAGATAATGAACATAAAACACGCTAATACATTTAAAAATTTTAAAATAAACTCTTTATTATATTTTTTGTGAAGTAATACGTGAGAAGGGAGGCCAGCTGATTAAATAAAAAAATAAAATTAATAAAAATATTAGAGTAGCAGGTTGTTTTAAGGGGGGAATAAGCATGAATACCTGCTAAACCTCAACCTATATATAGCAGTTTCTTCTCCACTACTCCACATTATTATTAAAACTAGTTACCCATGTGTTTATCTGATTAATTGTGCTAATTTTACTTCACTAATACCATTATAAAAATTTTTCACTGTTGAAGTCTTAATATTTCCTTTAAGACTACGAATATCAATTACTACTGAGTAGTACATCTCATCAAAAGTATAATTATTCACCTTCATAAGTCGATCAAAGTGTTATTTAAAATGAATTTTAATATCTGAAGTAATATCTAAAATTCCAGATAAATTGGAACTTCTAAAAGAAGAAGAGCTTGGAGATGAATTAGTTTCAGATCTATTGGTCAAATTAGCTTTAAATTCATTAGACACACTTTGTTATCAAAATTAGATCTTTGAACTATTGCGTAATGTTGATTTGTTTCATTTTGGAGATTTTTGATAACAATATTAATTCTGCAAAAATCATTACGGTAGGCTTCTTCAATATTATTAACTTTCGTAGTTATGTTATTCAAAATTTTCTGCGTCTCTTTAGTAAAGTCATCATCACGTGTCTTATTTTTTTAGCTTTCGCAATAAGTTTATCATTAAGTTCAATGTTAATTTTGCCAAACTCTGCATTAACTTCTTCATTAAATTTATTATTAAGATCATTATTGATTCTGCTGAGTTTCGCAGTGAAAGTAGAATTAATATCAGAAATACATATGTCAAATTTATCATTAAGTTCAGTAAAGATCTGGTCATAAAGTGACCTCTTTTTGATTTTCGGTATATTATTTAGAATACAGTCAAGGTTGGATATAATGATGCTATTATATAATGATAATGTCTTATAACGATAAAAAACCTTTTGCCCAAAATAATTATAATTAAATTAGTTTTATATACCAATTTTAATTAATAAATCTCTTTATTTTATTTTACAATAGATATTACATATACTTCTAATATAAATTAGTATCGTGTTATAATGATATTCACATATAACAATATAAATCTATATGGAACGATATACAATATCATATGATTTATGATGCAGTGTAAAAAAAATTTTTTTTTAGTATAAAAATTATCGCAAAATATTTTCTCTCCTAATTTTTTTTAATACATGTATATTCAGTGAGAAAAATATAGATGGCGTATTAGACATCAGGAAAAATTTTTAATTACTTTTAAAAAAAATCTATGGATTTTTTTTTTAAAAAACAACCCAATTAACCTTTTTTTAAAAGGTAATCTAACAACCTTTTTTTGAACAACCTTGGATATATTTTTTTAAACTTTTTATAGATTTTTTTTTAAAAAAATTCCATTAATTTTTTTAAAAAAACAACCTGATTAATCTTTTTTTAAAAGAACCTAACCTTTTTAATTGTATATACCACCCTGATGAATTTTTTTTCTAAAATTTTTATAGCTATTTTTTTAAAAAAAAATAACACGATTAACCTTTTTTTTCAAAGAGCCTAACCTTTTTAATTATATAAGCAATACCGATGAATTTTTTTTTAAAAAAATTCCAGTTAATTTTTTTTCAAAGCAATCTGATTCAAAAGGTAACTAACAATTTTTTATTACTTAAGCATAATCCAATAGATTTTTTTTAAAGCTTTGATTATCCTCTTTTCAAAAGGTAACAAACATTTTTTTTTATTGCATAAACACAACCTGATGGATTTTTTTTAAAGAAAATCCAGTCAATTTATTTTTTATAAAAGTCAATTTGATTAACTTTTAAAAGATAACCTAATAACCTTTTTAAACTTTTATAGTTTTTTTTAAGAAAAGCTAATTTTAAAAAGTGTTAAAGATTACAATTTTTTTTAAAATAACTTCGATAATTTTTTTAAAAAAATAAATGATTATGATGACAAGGTATTTAATTTTACCAATTTTGTATTTTGTGTATTTCAAATTTAAATTTATATTTTAACGCGTTGAAATTTTAAATATTTTATCAAATGGTTCTTTTACAAAAAAGAAACACTTCTAATAGTAAAGAAAACATTACTACTAAACGTATTCGTATTATATTATTATTTGCTCAAAAATACAAAATTTGTTTAAAATATGAACAAAAATCACAACCAACACAAAAATAACTTGCTGAAATATATGGAGTTAAACAAAATACTATCTCAGATATTTTAAGAGATAAACAAAAATGGATTGAAACTAATACTGAATTTAATGATTTGAGAAAAAGAATTTGTATATCTGCTTATCTCGAAATTGAAAGTTCTTTAGCAATTTGATTTATGCAAGCATTTTCTGCAAATCAAACAATTACAGGAGATGTTTTAAAAGCAAAAGCATGTATTTTTGCACAATTGCTTAATATAGAAAAATTTTCTGCATCAGATGGTTGGCTTTCAGGATTTAAAAAATGACATTATATTCAACAATATACAAAGGCAGGTGAATTACGTAATGCTTTACTTAATACTTTAGATGATGAAAAAGCAAAACTTCAAAATATTATTAGTGAATATGAACTTGAAAATGTATACAATTGTGATGAAACAGGT